AAGTTTTGTGACTGTGCAATAGAAATAGATGTTTATTCCCCTAAACCTCCATGGGCCTGGCAGGACTCTGCCCTTGCTCTGTAACTGGGGAATCAGGAATGTTAATTTTTATCAAGTCTTTTTAAAAAAGCTTTTGATTCCTGTCAATTTTTCGTGTTACCTGATTGCTCATTGCCACTGTGCAAACAGCAAAAAAAACAACAAAAGATGTGAATTGTTTGTTACAGAAATCATATCTTTTAAAGTAAATGTTAGAAGAAGATGATCCTGTCAGCTTCAGTAAGTAGAGAGGCTAATTAGCCTATTTAGAAGTAAATCATTCAGCCACCATTAGCGGTCTGTTTAAACATGCAAAACCTTCTGGAGGATGTAATTCTCCACCTTGCAGAGGAAAGTGGGTGCTTGAGGGCACGGATTGCATTTGGATGGCAGGAGAAGGACTGTTTGCTCCTGCTGGATCCTGTTTGTTCTCCGGCAGGGCCGGGAGGAACTTGGCTGCCCCGGCTGCTGCGGGAGGGGGACGTGGCAGAGCCAACACCTTCCATCTGAGAGAGCAGGGGAAGGGAAATATTTGTTGTTCTGACACTGAAATACATAAATGGGGCTTTGCGAGGAGTAGTTGTGTTTACTTGTGTGTGTGGGAAGGATTTCTTCCTGGTGCCTGGCTCCAGCACGGCTTTGGGAGTGGAAATACTGTTTGTGCTTTGTGCTGCCCCACCGGGCTGAGTTGGTGGTCATTATTTGGCCTGTGCTCGTGTTCCCTGCGTGCAAGGATTTGACAGAGCTGTGTTCCCCTCTCTCACTCCTTGCCAGGGTAATTATTCCACTGAGTCCCTAAGCAGGATCAGTTCAGTCGGTGGAGAATCTTTTACATAGCAGCTCATCAGCATGTGGCAGCCATAAACTTCATACTGCTTGTTGGAAATCTGAGAAGAAATATTTTAGCTAAATATTTCTGCAGCTTTCATGGAGAGTAATAACCCACAGTAGTTTAAATTACCCACTCAGGATTTGGAAATTGGTCTGAAATCACCATGTTTTCTTTACCCAGTGATGAAGTACACAGTGCCTGATCTTACAAGTGCATTGATGACAAAATTCCCCTCAAGGCAGGCTCAGACTGCCCAAGAGAGCGCTTGTGCAAACATCAGTGCCCTGTTCTCCATCAGCAAACTGTAGAACGGCGAGTCATGGGTCTGGTTTCTCAAAAAGAGACCTTTTTAGGACTGATTTCTCAATTTAATGCACTGTATCAGCCAAAACCCAAACAGCAAAGTAGCTGTTTTGTGTGGTAAATAAAATGTGTCTATGAAAGATGTGGTGGTTACTCTTCAGTTAAGCAGTACTAATCTCCTCCAGGTACTGTAGGGACATTTCCAGTCTTGTTTGATTTGTACAGAGACAACCAAATTAAACCTGTGTGTACAGAGGGTGAAGATTAAGCACCTTGTGATCTTGAGCCTGAAAAGATTCCATGTCCATCCTATATCCTGTGTGTCCTCAGGTTCCTCGAGCTCTGCCCTGGGGAGAGGAGGTCACAACACATCCCACCCTCCTGCATCTGCTCTGCCCCACCCCAGAGCCCTCAGGGCAGCATGAGGCAGTGGGGGCTCCAGCTCGGGATAAACCACAGCAGAGGGAGGGTGGGAAGTGCCAGTTCTCCCTTGGGAAGCAGCACAAACCCAGGTGTGTTCCAGTCTGACCACAGCCATGAGCACCAGTGCTCTGATAGCCCAGTGGGGTGAAAGCATCAGCCCAGCAGGAGCTTCTGTGTGAACTTCCAGGCCCTGAACAGCTCAGCTCATGGAAAGAATCCCTGTTGGTGAGAGGTGTCCCATCTCCTCCACTCACCCAAAAACCCTTCCATGGGCACATAGTCCTGACTGTTCAGCTTGGGAGGAGTGAGTGGCCACGTCCTCTGGGGCAGGGACGGGCTGTTCTCAGCTCTGTGTTTGAAGAGGGCCCTTCAGCTGGGGCTGGGAAGCCTCTCAGGTCAGCAAGGGGTTTTTGGCTGTGAAGTCTTTCTATAAACTGCAGTTAGTCATTGTAAATATAATGACTACTTTAACTAAAGTAGTAATGGCTGCTCGAAATTATTCTCGTGTGTTTTTAAAGACAAAAGAAGATCTGTGGTATTTTTGGTGTGCAGTAGCTAAGTGCAGTTACAGTCTGCCAGGGAGGCATTTTGTTTTCACCCATGTCAGAGGAAACACAACATGCATTCACTTTTCCTAGGCACTCTTCTAGCCCTCCCTTACAGGAAAAGTTGATTACAGCCATCTGAACTCTTGTCTTATAACTGTTTGCAGGTGGACACATCTTTTTTGTCAGGATGTGGCTCATCCCAAGTTTCTAGAAGGAATTGCCCTCACATTATGTGAGAGGAAATCACTCACATTACCTGACGTAAATCTGGTTATCAGGGATATAATAATATAATCTGGTTATATATCAGGGATATAACTCTTTTCCAAGGGGTGGTAGTTTGCAATCTCTCTAAAATTCAGGACTTGAGCCAGAGCTTCTGTTTCAAGTGTTAATTTTCAAAGGCTCATGGGTGAGAGTTTGGGAAACTTCTCACGTTTCTCTGTTTGGTGGTAAGTTGCACTTTACATCCACATGAACTACTACACAGTAGTAACAGCATGTCCTCAGAATAACAAGTTACATGGTGGGAAATATTGGCTTTTATGGGCAAAAAATTCAATAGCCACTTCAGGATTAAACACGTGGAGCTGGATTTCTGTGTGTGTGGAGTTCTGAGGAACTGACGAGTGCAAGTGGAGGGTTACTCTCCATTTGAGGGGTTTGTTTTTATAACATCAGGTGTGGCCCAGGTTCAGGTTGTGCAGTCGGGTCTTTGCTGTGCTGCTGACAGAGCTGAGCATGGGGCATCCCTGGTTACACTCGTGGTGCAGCCTTTCAGTTTGTATGGAGACAATGCCCTGCGTTATTCCAGGTTTGTAGGATACATTACGAAATTCCATCAGTGATACCAAGTCCTGAAGCTGCTGCAGGGAAGGGAAGGAATTCCCAGCAGAGAACCAGAGCAGGAGGTGCATGGGGAGTGCCTGTGGATCAGTAACCTGGGGGGTGAGTGCTGAGCAGGGAGAGCAGCTCTGCCGTGCAGGGTGTGCATTCCTGGTGCTCACACCTTCCCAGGGCTCCGCTGTTCCCTTCTCACCTGGGAAATCAGCTTCCAGTGCCAGGAGACACTCCCCTTCCTAAGGGAAGACAGGGAAGTGGAAGAAAACTGAGGATGTGAAGTCGGCCCTTCTCATCCCAACTGAGCGAGGGGTAAAGCACCAACAGTTTGGATGGCAGAGCACTGCTCTGCAGAGCCATCTCAGAGCAGGATCACTGCCTTGGCTCCTTCGTGTGCCCTCGCTGGAACAAAAGCTGAGAAGTGGCTCTGTGCTGGCTCTGAGCTTCTGATGTTCCTTAGATCCGTGACCTTCTCGCTGCTCCATTCAGCCAGGTTCCAGCAGCAAGTTCAAAATCCGCCCTGTGCTGGTTCTTTGATGTGCACTCACATTGCTCCTTGTTTTGGGGGCTTTTTAAGGAAATATTTCTTTGTTGACTTTAATTTAGAGTAAGATAAACTTGAATGAATGGCATTTTTCTTAAGGCATTGCTCTCTTTTGTAGCCTTAGGCTTTTAATAAGTTTTCCAGCAGGGTTTGATGGTGGTAGTTGCAGGCAGACAGTGTCACAGCTCTCCAGCTGCAGGGATGTCACTCCTTTGTCACTCATGCCCGGCCCTGGTTTGCTTTGCAGATTCATCTTGATGGTTCCTTTCTCTTGCTTCTGAATAGGTGCTGTTGTAGAACAGTCAGAGTAGGAAATGAGAGGCCAGGCCACGTGGCTCTGGGAGGATTCGCGCTGTGTCACGGGGGTACAGCAGGGGCTGTTTGTTCCCTGCCCGAGCCTGGAGAAGCCCTTTGGCTCTCGGGTTCTTAACTCGGTCCTCTGCGAGTGCTGACGGCTGTGGAAAGGCCTGGGGATGATCCCGAGGGTGCTGCTCCCTGACTGGTGTCAGTGGGAATTAGTGGGGGGGCTTTGGGAACGGGTACACCCTCCTGTGTCTTGGGGCTGGGAATTACTGGGGGAGGCTTCAGGGGACAGACACAACCTCCCCTGTATCTCGGGGCTAGGAAATACCGGGGGGCTCAGGGAATGGTCATTCACCTCCCGTTGTCTCCGGGCTGGGAATTACCGGGGGGTTCTAGGAATGGGCACACCCCCTGTCCCATTGTCTCCGGGCTGGGAATTATCGGGGGAGCTCTGGGAATGGCCACATATCCCCTGTATCTCAGGGCTGGGTGTTACCGGGGGGGCTCTGGGAATGGACAGACCCCCCAGCCCATGTCTTGGGGCTGGGTATTACCGGGGGTCTCAGGGAATATTCCCTGTGTCTCAGGGCTGGGAATAACCAGGGAGGCTCAGGAATGGACAGACCCCCTAGCCCGTGTCTCAGGGTGGGAATTACGGGGTGGGGTGGGGGGTGTCTCAGGGAATGGGCAGACCTCCGTCCCAGCATCCCAGGGCTGGGAATTACCGGGGGGGCTCAGGGAATGGGCGGACAGCACCCGTGTTTCGGGGCTGGGAATTACGGGGGGATCAGGGAGCGGGCACATATCCCCTGTATCTGAGCTGGGGATTACAGGGGGAGGGGCTCTGGGAATGGACAGACCCCCAGCCCGCGTCTCAGGGTGGGAATTACGGGAGGGGGGCTCTGGGAAGGGGCCCGCCCTTCCCCTGTCTCAGCGCTGGGAATTACCGGGGGGGCTCCGGGCGCGGCCTCGCCCTCCCCGTGTCCCGGGGGTGTTCCCGGCCCCCGAGGGGAGGCGGGCGCCGCTTTGTCCGCGCCGGGCCCTCCCCGGGCCCTCCCCGGGCCCTCCCGGCGGGCGCGGGCCCGGCTGCGGCTGCCACGTCCCGGGGGCCGGGCCGGCCCGGGCGGGGCGAGCGGGGGGCGGGCCCGGGGCCTGCGCGGTGCCCGGGCGGGGGGCGCGGCCCCGGCGCCTCAGACAGCGCGGCCGCCGGGCGGGAGCACCATGTGCGGTGAGCACGGGCCGGGCCGGGCCGGGGGCGGCGGGCAGGGCCGGGCCGGGCCCCGTGTGCTCCGGCCGGCCGGGGGAAGGAGGCTCCGGGCGCTGCCGCCGCCCCGGGGGTGGCGAGCGGCGCCCCGGCCCCGTTATCCCGGGTGTTATCCCGGGTGTTATCCCGGGTGTTATCCCGGGTGTTATCCCGGGTGTTATCCCGGTGTATCCCGGGTGCCATCCCGGTGCCATCGCCCCGCCGCGCCGGGGGGAGCGGCTCGCTCGTGTTAATGCCCCGAAAAGGCGAATTGTCCCCCGGTGGTGACAGAACGTGGCCCGGCGGACAAAAGGCCCCGGTAGCGCCCGGGTTCGGGCGGGGATTCCGGGCTGTGGGGACGGGGAGCCCCTGCCCGGGGGTTCCGGGCTGTGGGGACGGGGAGCCCCTGCCCGGGGGTTCTGGGCTGTGGGGACGGGGAGCCCCTGCCCGGGGGTTCCGGGCTGTGGGGACGGGACAGCCCTGCCCGGGGGTGCCGGGCTGT